TTTTTTTTTTTTTTTTTTTAAGGGGGGAAAATCATCGAATGACTGCCCCCGCCTGGGTGAGGCGGGAGGGAGTGTCAGACTCTTACTGACTAAAAACCACCCCGTTCCTTCTCCTGCACGTCGAGCCGGAGCCCCGGTTACCCGTTAGGTTCTCCGCGACTCCGAATCGGCATCGGCCCTATTGGGCCCCATCTGTGGTGGTCTGATGGCTCTTTGAGGCGCGCGCGGAACGCGACGCGCCGTACGCTCGGGTCTGTTTCTGGTCGGACGGGGAGCCACCCATGCTCGCCGTCCGCAGGCCCGCGCTTACGGTGGCCGGAGATCGTCCCGCGATCCCCGACGCCCGGTGTGTCCTTCGCGATGGCTGGGTTGCGAGGAGGCAGCGCTTCGCTGCCTCACGCGTCCCGCCTCCTCCTTAGCTAGCATGACTGCTTCGCAAAAGGAGGAGACGGCATCCCAATCCCCCTCGCTCCGCATCATGGCCTGCACTAGGCCCGGACGCGAGAGGTCGCCATCGCCGATCACTTCCCTGAGGACACGGCGGTGCTCAGCCCACGAAGGGCATTCTCCCACCGTGTGTTCCACCGTGTCCTCAGGGCGGAAATGAATAGGAGCTTAGAAAAATGTTAAGTCGTAGAATAATTAAAGAATAGCGTATGCGCTGTTCCATTTCATTCCATTTCCATTCATTACTATTTAGTTAAGTAACCTTAGCTTGGAAGTACTACATTTTTTTCAATAAATAAATGTACCGGTGAAAACGAACAAAATCACTGAAAACACAATTACTTTTTTTTTACATCCCAAACTATGACGTCGCAGTGAAACTCAATGAAAATTGACATTTCCAAAAATAATCGGAAAAATGCAGTGTGAACTCTAAAAATGTGTATACAAATACACTACATTCCTGATAAAAATACACAAAGATAGGAATGCGGCCTTTGCTGAAATTCGAGTTCGTGAAATAAAATGCTTTTCGTACTATTTTAAAATGTGTTATTTTAAGAAATAACTATGTTATTATAAGTGGGCGCTCTTCTGTAAATAAAACAGCAGCAGTTTTATGTGAACTTTTTCGAATTATGCACCTCATACCTACATGATTAGGTATACAAAGAATCACTACTACATTTTAAGTGCAACTCATAAATTATAGCAGCCTACTAGTATTTAAAATATCGAGAACTCCTTCTTATAATTACTTTTCAAACTTAACCGTTGTAATAGAAAAAAAATGTAGTTAGTATGTACAAGTTATCGGACATAAATCCTGAGGGTGCTATTGCTAACAAAATTAAACTTTACAATATAATATTCTATATATTATTATCCTTATAATGTAGTAACGACATATGAAGCATGGCACTAAAAAGGAATACATGGAAGTCGGTAAAACTAATCTTAATTATTAAATACTAATGAAAATTTTTTACTTGTGTTTTCTACCTACCCACGTAAATTATGCGTTTACAATCACACTACTTCAAAAGCTACCTATCTATCTATAGTATTAAATTAACAAACCGTTCATTACAATTCATCAGGCGTTTTATCGACAGTTAGCGATGAGTTCAGCTTTGTTCTTTTACTGAGAACTACTATTAGTTTAAATTTATATACGACTAAAATAAATAGTTGTCTAAATCAGTTCTTGTTAACTCTTAAGGAAACATATTTATGAAGGAGTTTCCTTTGATCTGAATACGTTTTTCTTTTTATTCCGCTGTTGGTCCGATGTTTCTGAGAGGTAGAGACGTGATTTCGTATTTAAACTGTCAAACACCGAGCGGTCACAGGTGACCGCAACCTATTGTTCTTTAACTCGTCGAGTACCGGTTTTGTAGACACAATTATAGAACAATAGGTTGCGGTCACCGGTGACCGCTTGGTATTTAACAGTTTAATTGTGTCTATAATGACGGTACTCAACGAGTTAAATACTGGTCCATTATTATCATCAGCGTGTTTTCGTCCACTGCTGATCAAAGGCCTCTACAATGGTACGCCATTGGGCTTAATCATCAGCTCTACGCATCCAACTACTGCCACATTCCAGATATGGTCACTCCACCTAGCTGGAGTGCTTGATAATTTCGTTTGCCTAGGCACGGTCTCCACTCCAGAATACTGTTTGACTGTCACCAAATCTACTAAACATTATAATGTTTACCCTAAAAGTCGTTATCGTTTATTACAAATCATATTATACTGTACAACAAAATAGATGTTGGCCTAATGTAAAATTCTAATTAATAACTAATAGGGACATAAATACAACACAACTGCCACGGGGAAACATTTCATTGCGTAATCTACAATTATGAACATTGCTAATTAAAGTAATTAATTTGACAATAAACCCAGCAACAACTTCGAACTGCCATAATTTGAACTGTTTGTATATGAAGCACGTTAACAATATTACCTTTGATTACATAATGTTATGTGTACTTATTTAAATTCAGTGCAGAAGTGGAATTTGTGGTTGACAAATAGATGACAGCAAAAGTAACCGGTTGTGGTTTTTTTAAGGGGGGAAAATCATCGAATGACTTATCCGGCCTGGGTGAGGCGGGAGATGTCATGGTCATATTCTTACTGACTAGAAACCACCCCGTTCCTTCTCCTGCACTTCGAGCCGGAGCCCCGGTAACCCGTTAGTTTCTCCGCGACAATCGGTAGTGGTTGTATGAGAAGAGCTGAAGATCAAGCTTAGTTGCATCTTCTTAGAGAAGCCTCTGTGAAGCAGTTGAAGAAAATGGACTGATGATGAAGAACTAGACAATGAAAGAGTGCATACTTTAGATTTTAATGATGAAATGAATGAAACCCCATGAAACTGAATGTCGAAATATCTGATCAGTGTTATGGCGTCCTGAATAATTTCATTTTCCTTAAACATAATCTCGAATCTTTCCATAAAAACCAATTTCCATACTTCTGAACTAACTGATGATTATTGTATAATGTATGATGATAATTAATAAAAGGTTTTGTAGAAATAATTATATAAAATAAATAATAGATATTTCGTTTTTAGTTTATTATAAAGGCTGTTTACTAAAGTTTGTCGGAGACAGGTTGACTACAAAAGATTGTTTTGTTTAAAATTAAAGGTTTAAGCTTGCTGGAGGCTTCATTGGAATTAATAATTATTAGGTATTGTACTAATTAAATAAATTATCTATATTTCTGCATAATTCTAACTTAGCCTAGGTACGTTAAAAAACATTTTATTATATTCTATGTGAAATACTGTACTGCTAAATGTATCATATATTTATGTACAGATTTTTGCCTCCTTGTAGTTTAATACTGTTGAAAAAAATGTATATTACTTAATTTTTACATATTCATATTAGTCCTCTTAATCCTTTAGCCAAATTCTGAAAACTTTGGTGAAACGATCAGAAAACAACACTTTAAAGATTATTTAAACTGTCAAACACCAAGCGGTCACCGGTGACCGCAACCTATTGTTCTTTAATTGTGTCTATAATGACGGTGCTCGACGAGTTAAATGTCATTCAATGCAGAAAAATGTACAGAATATTCAAAAGTAAGACTGCAAAATCATCTG